CCCTAATATTTTCGTCTCGTTTTTATTCATTGATGAAAATGTCAATAGATTTTCTTCATAGTTTTTGTCATTCAAAATGAGTTTTATTTCATTATAGTCTTGTTTTCGTCTGTGAACAAAAACGTTGTTGATGAAAATTATGCGTCAACTAAATTAAAAGCGTCATGACATGAGAAATTTAATTACTTTGATCTTTTGACATAGAAGATGTCTTTGTATGCTTAATACATCCTGCAATTTTCATAACTTAAAATGTCCTCATCATCAATAAAAAAGCATTTATGTAACAACCCTCAGAAAATGGCTCGTTTGGAACCGAGGTGCAGGGTAACATTACAGGGGAGCAGTCGTTTGCATATGACCATCTCCAGAGCAAGACAACTATGCCTATTTTTGCATCATCGCATTGTTGTCATGCCCACATGTGTTCAGTGGACATGCAGCGAGTGGGTCTGAAGGAGTAGTTGTTTACAATAAGATTGTGATGCCAGGCAGACGATGCGCTGTTCCTGGATGTGGAAAAACAACATGTTTGTAAATGTTGCTGAAGGATCCCAATGCCAGAGAAAAATGGATTCAGTTTATTTTTAACAAACGTCCCAGTCGAGTCAGTGCTAATTTACACATGTGTTCAGTACATTTCACCGGTGACTGTTTTGAGACCAAATCGCAGTATTATGCTGGATTTGCCAAAATACTTTTTGCTCAAAGATCAGTCTGTGCCAACTGTTCTGGACCCAACAACGGTGCCGCAAATTGTAAGTAAAATATTTCAAGTAAAAACATTTTTTTAAATGTTAATGGCGGTAATGGATGTTAGCCAATCATAAAAGTGGGAGGTTACACTGACCTCTTAAAGGGAAAACACCCTCAAACTGACTGTTTCAGTCAGAGGATGAGAAATAGGGTGGAAAAATGTTATAAATCACTCAATTTTGAATGTTTTTTGACCAAAAAACTTTAGTAATTTTATAATTACACCTTAGGGAACATTAAAAAAAGGTCATGACCCCTTTAACACTGTGTTCCACCACACTGAATAATTATGTCCCTATTTTTTTTTTAAGATCTCAATGAAATCCTAATCTAATCATGACAAACTATATATTGTTGGAAAGGTCTAAGACTTCTAAATAGATACTTTACCAGTTTTTTGTTAAAAATTATGTAGGAAAAGTAATAGATTAATTTATGACAAGAGTGCACCTCAAAAATCTAACAGGAGTTCTGACCTTTGTCACAAAAAGTCTTCTACGTTGCCTTTTTCTCTATCACACTTTAAGGCCAATTCACACTGCGTAGACAAACGCCAACAAACAAGTTGGCTGATGGATTTAGAATTTTATGAAAAATAACTGTCATGTTCACACTGCCCCAACAAACACCAATAAACTTAGAGTCAAAGAGAGTCAAGTAACACCGTGTCTACACCGGACGCAACGGTTGTCGCATCGTGCCGCATCCACTTGTAATGACTTGATTACTTAATTTTAGGAAATTAATTATTATTAATTCATTTAGGTTTTGAAAGGACTCGGATCTGAAAATTCGAGGTCCACCTGATTAAAACTGATTTCAAATTTGTTATTTAAGTTAATGTCAGTATATTTTAACAAACTGACTATGTATTTTCCTGGCCACGGGTAAATACGTTCTTTGATAATTTATAAGCTCTTAGAGAGGTAACAATGATCTTTGGCAAAGGTTTTGACTTTTCACGACACCAGACAATTATCCTTTATAACTGAAACATGAATTTTATTGGCTATTCTAGATTACATTAAAACTAGACTAAAACACACATACACACACACACACATATACAGCTCAGAAAATTGAAGGAATGAGTTAACGGAGTTGCATGTAGTTTCAAAGTTCTTACACTCGTTTCACCTGAGAGAATTCACAAAGCAGAGGTTTGTCTTAAGTTTACTGCTTAACGCAATTCACCAGTTCAACACCGATTTCAGCAGATAGGAGCTTTGTTTGTTTAATTGCGTTTTGCTTTGGATGACAGCTGAAAAGCGGAGTTGTTCCTCGTTGCTGACAAAGGCGTCCTGAATGGCTGCTGAGGGAATCCCGGAGCTTTCGGATTGGTCACTGAGATGACGTTTGGGTAACGTCCTTTTGGGGAGACCCTCGCCGGATGGGTTGGTTGCCGGGTTACGGAAGAGGCTTGAGCAGTCCTGCTTAAAGTCTGAGTTTGCAAGACTTTGCGTTCTGCAGAGTTACGAAGCTTCAACTGAAGAGTTTGAGTTCTGGAGTCTCGCAATGCGGTGTTACGGCAGGGAAGCGCTTGTAGCGCTGTTACCAAAATAAAAGCCAGAGGTCTTGAGCGAGAGAGCGCGAGCGAGACCATAAGACCGGGAGCGATAGGGCTTTGTGTCCAATTTTAAGCAGGCTGACTTTTGTCCAGCCCACAGGTCGTGGTCCAATCAGATGGTGGCTGCGGGGTTTAGCCACGCCCCATACTGTTCCTTATCATGCATGAATCGCATGCTGTTTGTGGCGAGTATTTCTGCAAGTTTTTAAGAACTTCTTTTAAAAATATTATCACCGGAAAATTATGCCAAATATCAATTTTTCACATACACCAATGTTCTGTGAATAAGACAAGCTCTCACCCGATACTAAACTTCACATATCTTACACACATATTAAATGCTTTGTCTGTTAAAAAAGAGTTATAAGGCAAATATTAAAATATCATAGATTCCAATAAACACATCAAATATATATATATACGGCATAACACATACAGTGGATACATTTTCACTACTTATGAGTTTCTAAACGATTTGTCTTTTAAAATCGTCATGCAAGGTTCTGTTTCTTTTGTTGTAAGAGAAATTTGTAAGGGTTCCAGACAGGACAGGAAGCAGGTGGTCAAAAAGTCATGTGGCGTCATGCTGTATATCCCGTGCTTGCAGGCCCGAGGGCGTGATTAAATTGCCGTCCTTTTCCTGTTTGGACATAATAGTTCCATCCATTGGTGGTCACAAGACATCGTGGTTTCTATATGTTGTGAACGAACGTTCCAGTTCTGATACAAAGAAAGCTTTGTTGTCTCCTGATTGAATTAGTTTCGACTGACAGGAAATCGACCCAGAATATTGGAGTCATTTGCTGGGTGATTAGCAAACCTCCTGATGGCTGATAGGGGCATAGCAGTGTCCGTTCATGTACTAGAAATCCCTACACACTGTAGACAGCGTCACTGATTATCACACTGATTCTATGTTCAAAAATGTGAGTGACAATTAAGGGGATAAATGGTTTTTGAAATTGTTGTTTAAATGTTATTTAATTGTGTGTATTTGGGATAAATAAAATGCCAATTCCTTTTTTTTTATTAGTTTCATTTCATGGCACAGTTTAACATCATTTTAGAAATTACACAGTGGTGGGACTTCATAACTTTTGATAAACTAATAACTAGTAACTAGTGAGATTATGAAAAGTGTGTTATAAGTCTTCTGAGCCAAAGGTGCACATATTACTGTGGTGGGACTTTATAACTTTCGATGAACTAACAAACTAACTAACTAACTAACAAGATTATGAAAACTGTGTTATAAGGTCTTTTGAGCCAAAAGTGCCCTTATTACAGTGGTATCGTATTGTGAGGTAGTAAGCTGTAGTGGGGAAGATGGCCTAGAAAGTGCAAGTGTGTTCCACTCTCACGGCCCGTCTATGAGGTCGGGCGCTTGACTATTTATTGTCAGTATGGAGAACCCTACTGAGCCTCAGGCCCATTACAGTTGCTCCCGACAACCCCGGCATAATCCGCTCATTTGCAAGGTCATCGCAAATCATTATACAGTAGGGTTCCATTCCTCCGACATAAATACATGACCCCAGGGATCTGCTCTGCCTACTCTTCCCTGTCTCTCTTCCTCAATCACTGGCTTTCCTACCTCTCTCCCCCTTTTTTATATGAGTCTAGAAAAGCGTGTAATTAAATCTGCAGAGATTGCATGAGCAAGAACAAGCGATGCAGTCAGGCAGAATATGTGCATTCCTGTACCGTGGGATAAACACAGGCATGATGAAAGACGGAAGGGAAGTTTGCACTGTATCTGACAAGGCAAAAGAGACATTCTCACAGCTCCAAAGCATACACGGAAGGGTTTTTCCCACTGCGCCCCGTCAAAGGCTGGGTACACTTATTTTCTGCAGCAAGGGCATCTTTACATATTCCCATATTGCGCTTCTGCTCATCTCAAGTCCTCAAATCCCCTGTAGAAAAATATAGCGTGCCAAAAGTGATGAAGCATTTGTACAAATTCCATAGTCTACAAAATTTCATAAGATGCGCAAGGGAGGAATAAGCTATGAACGAGGCGACTTGTTTCAGTGATTTGTAAACAAAGCAAGTATATTTTCATCAGTTTAATTGAAAAACAAAAAAGATTGTTAGGAAGGTTGTGCAGACATCCTTTCCATCCTGGGAGTCAGTGATGCAGATGGGATGGCAGTGTGCTCTGCCTCTAAAATCGCCTTAGGTTCCCATAGCACTTAAATAAGTAGTTCAGAACTCTGCAGGGAGTGCGTACAGAACATCGAAGAACGCAACGGCACCATAGGCTGACAATGCACTGTTTTTAGAGTCCAATAAATAATAAACACCAATTTCCATAAAAATGGAGGATGCTCTGGATGCAGATCTTCTCCAGCCTTTGGCACTACCTCAAACAAACCACTGTTTTGGTATCATGATACCTGTGGCACCTTTGAACTCCAGAGTGCATCTGTTATTTTTCTATACCTAAAACTGTCTGATGGGACAACACAATATCCCTTCCTGAGGCTTTGAGCTATATTTTTCCTACCCCCCCACCCCCTCATTCAGAAAGATGAGAGAGAGAGAGGGAGATAGAGAGAGAGGGAGAGAGAGAGAGAGAGAGAGAGAGAGAGAGAGAGAGAGACAAACACATACACACACACGGATGGTTAAAATGTCACAATAACTTAGTGTCTTCACCTGTCATGCAGATGAGGTAATGTCCATGGATCAGCGTCTCCTGAAAATTATTCTGGAAAACCAAATTGTGAAACTCAGAGTCTCTCTGAGTGACCTCTACAATGGCCAACTGCTCGAAACCCTGGGAGGAAAACTGCTCAGAGTCTTCATTTATCGCACGGTGAGAGAGAAAGACTTAAGAGAAGGAGAATTAGTGAAAGATTGGGGACCTGCAAACAATTATTGTATAAACTACATGAGTGAAAACAACTACTTTTTAAATGTTTATTGTGCTGGCAGTTACATTTTATACTCTTATTTACTTCAGATACGTTCATAGGCTTTAAAGATGTCCTTGTCTAACTATACTGTATTTGTTTCAATACTCTGCAAAGTGTCCAAGGCACAACTATCATTTCATTCTCCTTTTTATGTGTGTGTTTTAGGCTGTGTGTATTGAGAATGCATGTATGGCCAGAGGCAGCAGAGAAGGAAGTAACGGTGTCCTTCATCTCATGCGATCACTGATTCAGCCACCCGAGACAACCATCTATGACCTGCTCTTAAAAGACGGACGCTTTAAGTGAGATTATCATCATGACTTAATATGATTAATATTATTTTATTAACTAAACTGTAAAACTGTAAAGGTAACAGGATAAAATGTAAAAAAAAATGCTGCAGAAAAACTTAACTGTAAGTTAATTTACTATATACACTGAAAAACACTTAATTTAACAGGATAATCTCTGCATGTAATTAAAAATGATATTGAAATATTAAATAAATATTAAATTAAATAATATAAATGCATCATTCATTCATTCAAATAAAAATTACAACTATGTATGTATGTATGTATGTATGTACAAATAATTAATTGGCTGCATGGCTGAATTATTCCAGAATCTTCCTGTCTCTGATGGAGAGTGCTGAACTGACAGATCTACTGAAGCAGGAAGGATCGTACACACTCTTTGCTCCTATCGATGCCGCCTTTGGCACCCTGACAGAGGAAGACATCGCTCTTCTGAAAAGTAAACATTTTATCCTGAGAGAGAGAGAGAGAGAGAGAGAGAGAGAGAGAGAGAGATAGGTTGTGTATGCTGGTTGGAAAAGGGGCAGCTGCTCCTTCAGGAGCCATCATTCATCATCCTCTCAGATGGTCTTCATCTCCTCCTGCTGCACTCGATGCTAAAACACATTTACCTAAAAGGATTTCTGCAAGCTAAGGTGCTAAATCCCAATTTCGTAGGGGTAGAAACTAGGGATGCCTCAATTCTCAATATAATATTGAACCATTCGGTACGACTTCCACAGTTCAATACCCGCTTGTGAATTGCGTTCTTTTTTTCGGTTTTGTGTTTAAATCATTTCTGTGCGTTTTATGTGAGTCTATGCGCTGATGAGGAAACACCTACCCGCTTATGATGTGCATTTGGAATAGCAACACAGACCAAATATCTTCCTCTCTTGCAATGAGAGGCGTTTATAAAAATGTTGTCCAACAAAAGAGAACATTATAACATGTTTTTACTCCACAACATCAGTCGAGTGTTTGAAATAACTTCCTTTTGTGATCTGGTGTGGCTTCTTATCACAAAATGATGCAGAAAACATATTCTATATGGTAATAAAGTCTATGTCGATTAGCAATGGACTACAAATATACTTAATTATAATGAAAATACCCAAGATAGCTTGAACACAAATAAACTATATATTGTGCAGTCGTGTGTTTATTGCCTGCATGTTTGATCAGTTCATGTGTTTCTATTTTCTTTTTATTCAGTTACAGCGATAGCTGGATGCTTTTGTCCATATAAGTGATTTCCTGGAGCATCATGAGTTTTTCTCCAGTGTACAGGAGTTTTATTTTTTGTTTAGTTTTTTTTTGCTAATTTGTTTTAAAAATCCCACTTTAAATTGCTTATCGCAAAAAAACTAAAACTGTGGTTAAAAAAACCGAGGTATGTATTGAACCATGGGGTAACTGTATTGTTGCATCCCAAGTACAAACCCAACAGCATGCATCTGGATACTTGACCCAAACTTTCCACATTGTGTGATGAACTGCTGATGTAGTATTGCTGTCAAACATATTTAGAGTGGGTGCCTGAAACAACAGAAATTAATTGTCAGCTGTTGTTTTAAACCGCCCCAAGTTTTCAATTAATCTACTGACATTTAGCTACAAATTAACTGATTAAGGAGAAAAGGTTACATTGGAGCTGAAGCTATCTGATGGAATCGAGCTGGGATCACGTGATGGCTTTGTTATTTAGATGGAAATGTGACTTTGAATGAACAACAAATATATCGCTCTTGAGACCCAACCAGTCATGTGAACAAAGAGTCTCACTGCTATACATCCCATCATTCCACACACAGGGCTGACAGTGGTTGCTTGCTGGATTCATCTGAAGTGCTACTTCACTGCTATTATACAGGCAGGATTTTTCAACAATATTGTGCTCCCAGCCTTAGGATAGCCTCTGAAAATTCAACTCTTATGAACACCCGGTTTCTGCGAGGATACCAAGGAAACAGGGTTAAAGATTGCGCTAGTTGCAAGAGAGAAATAGAGCTCTTTGGGAAAGGATTGCATGCCAGTCAAATCTCAGTCTAGATTATATCTATGGTGGCTTTGAGCTAAATCTCTATTTAATTAATGTTGTGTTTATTTGTAGGGATACACATATATGTACATTTTGCCTGATGTAATAATAATAATAATAATAATAATAATGCAAATATTTTGGGTCCACATGACAACATAAACAATAATCATTGTGGGAGTACTTTACAACTAGGGCCAATTCATTGACATTAGTTAATGCATTAAAAACCATAAATACATTTTCATAGCATATATTAATCTAAGTCTATTTATAAATATACTGTTTTCCATTTTTTATTCATGTTTGTTCATAAAACATGAACTTTGAATGTTCAAGTTTTTCAACTCAAAAAGTTAAATGTTGAAGTTCATATTAACATTTAAAAATGCGGTAGAAATATTGCTCATTGGTATTTCATGTTAACTTGTTTCATTGCTAACATTTAGAAGCTTACTGTAAAGTGTTAGCATTTGTGTCATGTTAATTGGGTGCCATGGCTTTGCCAGCCTTGTCTATATGGGTAGAACAAACTATTTTGTTTTGGATCACTTGCTGGTGCAATGGTTCAACAAGAACTCGCTGTTTAGATGTAAAATTCTGGCAGGCATGAGCGTGAGTGTTGACAGGTTCCTTTGCCTTGTAAAGCAATATTAAGAGTGGACGGTTTGCACACATGCCTCTGCAGACCAGGATGGCTCATCCATGCTGTCAAAAGCAATAACACGAGCACTGGTCTGTTACCCATTTTGAGCGGCATAAGGTTTATATTCACAAAAAATGTCATGGGCTGATCCATTCTTGTCCGGGAGACAGAATCAGCAGTTACAGGTGCCACTAATCAATGGTGTCCGCACAGACATGGCTGTGTGCACCTGCCATATTGGCACATTATGCCGCTCTGTAATTCAATTTGCCACTCTATCCCATTTCCATGGGTTGTCATATTTACATCGGCCTCCATTGGAAAACACACACCAACTCTGAATGGGTAAGAAATGCAGATTGCTGAGGAAATGGAAAATGGTTGGAAGAATAAGAGACAGAAAAAACAAGCTCAGTGATGTCTCAATCAGAAAGCGACTGGGTATCATTTGGAATTGGATTATGGGGAAACGTCAATACCAAACAAACAGCTTTTCCAGTTAAAGCTTAACTTACAAAAGGTATTAAGATCAGAGCTGGTGATAAAAACTGTGCGATTCAGTGCGTCTTTTGTCTTGGGATTGTTGGCAGAGAGAGTGCCAGCATCAGTTAGAGGCCCTTTTTGTAGGATTTCCATATACTGTGCCTCAAGCCGTATGGATTTTTTCCAGCGTTCCCTTCCTGGAGTCTACACTCTTAAAAATAAAGGTGCTTCAAAAGGTTCTTCAAGCGATGCCATAGAAGAACCATGTTTGGTTCCACAAAGAACCATTCAGTCAAAGGTTCTTTAAATAACCATCTCTTTCTTACCTTTTTGTAATCTGAAGAACCTTATTTCGCCACAAAGAACCTTTTGTGAAACAGAAAGGTTCTTCAGATGTTAAAGGTTCTTTATGGAACCATTTAGACAAAAAGGTTCTTCTATGGCATCGTGAAGCACCTTTATTTTTAAGAGTGTATGGGGGAGACTTAGAAGGGATCTGGCAGGTTGCAACATAAACTCTGTGACTGATAAGGTGTCAGTGTTTGACAAGACTGTGGATTGCTTACATAACCCACCTCTGAAGTGTCATTCCTCCTTATTTCTTCCTGTCTCACACTTCATCTCTTGTCTTCCCGTCTCAATACGAAGTGAGAGGGTGAAAAACAGCTTCATCTTCCTCTCGCCACAAATCAGTGCGGTGACCAGAGATCATCTTTTCTAATGTCATCTCTTTTTATCTGGTGCTGACACACACCCAAGTGCACCATGGGTCATTTGTCCCAATAAAGGTCATGCTGATGTGGATAACACTCATTTCCTGGCTTTAAAAACCTTGTGTTAAAATACACTAAAAATGGAGCAATGTGGCCACAATGCAGCTTTGTCTCACAGTCATAAATATTCCGCAAGGGTTTCTTCTTTTCTTTTCTTTTCTTATTCTCACTTTTCTGGTCTCTCTCCACTTGCTCTCCCCCACTCCGCACCTGGGCTCCTCAGAAACACGGTCTTGGGATTGCATCCCAGGGTGGTAACATCCATCAACTCTGACACCAATCACCGGAAACCCCACAAAATGCTTCCTCCAATTTGTTTGCTATTTCAATGTCTTTCAGTGAAGCCTCCATCACACCTGTCACAACCACCTGCTACCTTTTCCACAGAGCATAGTAGGGAAGGGGAGGGAGAGTTTATAATCAGCCAGAATGGCTAATCTTCAGCCATTATTTTTACCCACCAAATGCCATTCTGTACAAACACTCCTCCAGGCTAAAGCACAGAGCACTGCTAACACATACACCTGCTACAAAGCAACTCCATTTGTGGGAAAACTAAAACACATCGTGACTGAATTCAAAGTGTACAAATCCCTTTAAAGTCAAACTAAAATGGACCCCATTACCTTCTAACCACACATTCCCAGTCTTATTGTGCACAATTTATCAGTATTTCCAAAGAAATAAATAGTACTTTAGATGTTTTTCGAAAACATAGTTAATACATTAGTCATCATAAACTTTTTTTATTTACATCATTTATTAGTCCTCTGTGTTTATTTTTTATACACTACCATTCCAAAGTTTAGAGTTGGTAAGATTTTTTTTTTTAATGTTTAAGTCTCTTAAGCTCACCAAGGCTGCATTTATTTAATCAAAAATAGATTAAAAACAGAAATATTGTGAAATATTACAATTTAAAATAACTGTTTACCATTTTATAATTTAATTTTCCTGTGCTTCAGAAATCATTCTAATATGATAATTTGGTTTTCTTTCTTATCATCAATTTTGAAAATGGCTGACTTTTTGATTAAAAGAAAGTTCAAAAGAACAGTATTTATTTGAAAATCTTTTGAAATATTATAAATGTCTTTACTCTCACTTTTTATCAAATTGATGCACCCTTGCTGCATAAAAGTAATAATTTCTCTTTCCCTCAAAAAAAATAAATAAATCAAACTTTTAGGGATGCACGATATATCGGCCACCATATCGGTATCGGCCGATAAATGCTCATTTTTTCTGTTATCGGTATCGGCCTGATAAGAAAATTTGGCCGATATCTTAAAGCCGATAAATAATGCATTATTTCCTTCAGAGACACTTCAGATGCGCGCTGTTCGTTTGCAGCCTTTTGTGCAATTGTACATTGTAATATTGTGTTTATTTGATGTATATCTGATTTATCTCATATAGAATGCGTTTGGTTAAGTTAAAAGAGCGCTTCAGTTTACCAGTGATCATCTTTAGCTCAGCACACGCAGCTCAAACAGCAGTGCACAACATTAATAACT